GCCGGCGCCGAGACCTGTGTTGCGCCCCCGGGCCGTTGGCGGGGCTCGTCCCAAGCGCCTGCTTGGGGCTTCCCGAGGACCCACCTGCGTGATGCAGGCGCCCGTGAAGGCCACGATCACAGCCACCACGTTGACGGTCAGCTGGAACTGCAGGAACTTGGAGATGCTGTCGTAGACGTTGCGGCCCCACATCACCGCCTTGACGATGCTGCTGAAGTTGTCGTCCGTCAGGATGATGTCCGAGGCCTCCTTGGCCACGTCAGTGCCCGCGATGCCCTGTGGGGATGGGGACAGGAGCCTGGGTGGGTGGTCGGCAAGGTGAGCGCTCTAGCACGACCGTCCTCACTCCTTACGCCCTCAGTCCTACACAACCCCGGACACACACCCGTCGGCCCAGCACAACCGGGACACGCGCACACGCCCAGCACCCCGAGGCCAACCCTCCAGGCCCAGGAAGCTCTGCCCAGCCCCCACTCCCTCCCTGCAAGCCCCATGGTTGCAAAGCTCCCCAGGCAGGGAGCCTCCCCACAGCCTCAGGAGTGCCGGCACATGCTAGGTGGACGGTGAGGGGTCGTGAGCTGGGGAATCTCCAGGCCATGGCTTCCCCCTCCCCGTGGCCCCCGGCCCCCTCCCCAGGCCCCCGCGAGCTGCTCCTACCATGGCGAAGCCCACGTCGGCCTTCTTAAGCGCAGGCCCGTCATTGGTCCCGTCCCCCGTCACGGCCACCACCTGGCGCTGCTCGGTGTGGGTGCTGTCGATGATGCCTGTGGAGCGGGAGGGTGGGGGGGGCAGCCAGGCCAGGCCTGGTCCTTGTCCTCGGGAGGGCTCTGCCACAAGCGTGGTCTCCTCTCTGGTCCTGGCGGCCACCCTCTCCCACGGTGGCTCTTCCCACCTCCGGCACCTCCTCACTCTCTGAGGCCTTGGGTCACGCAGCGACAACCTAACCAGAAACATCATGCCCTCTGCCTGTACCCGGGCCCCTCTGTCCGCCCAGGAGCTCCTAGGGCTTCCTGCCACCTGCTCTTCCAGCACCTTCTCCCTGGGGAGGCCAGTCATGGCCGAGGGGGCCCGGGCTGTGTGGTGTGCCGATGGCCCCGGCCACCATTCTGGCCTGGACCTCTCTCCAGACTTGCATCCCAATAAAACGCCGAAATGCTCCAGAGTCACGTGGTCCCAGACCCCGAGCTGGGGCTGGCGGAAGATGCTGGGTGAGAGATGTCATCGCCATGGAATCTGTGGGACTCGTCACTCACGGGGCTCCCAAGCACAGATGCCCACAGGCGGGACAGGACGTTGGGCGTAACCTCGATGTCTCCCCCTCGTTCTCTGATGGGTCAGCAAGCCTGCTGATCTGGGCCCCAGGTCCCACTGTGGTCCTTTCCTCTGTCCCTGTCTCCTCTGCTGACCCCACCCCCACGACCCTGTCCACTGATCCAGGCTCCCCCTCTGGGCTGCACCCCGCAGCATCCCCAGGGTCTCTAACACCCATGTCTGGATCTGCCCCTGTCCCCAGGAGAGTCGTCCTCTCCCTCCCTGTCGGCCTCAGGGCTGACATCCCCAGCCCTAGCTCCATCATGAAGTCCTGTGACCAGGCCTCGCCCGCTCGGACCTTTCCTCTCATGCCCTGGCCACCCCATGCGTGCTCAGTCCCCCAAGGCGGGCTCCCTGGTCCTCATCTGCACAGGCAGTCATGTGGCCACATGCGCTCCTGTCACCACCTGCCGTTTCAGCTCAGCCCCTGTGACCCTGAGGACCCCGGCCACCCCTAATCGGATCTGTGACTCTGGTGCCCCCGTTCATGTGTCAGCTGCTCGGGGCGCCGGGGGAAGCTCCCTGAGGTGCTGCTAATCCGCCCGCCCCCCTGCCCCGGCTCCCCCTTGCTAAGGCCCATGCCGTGTGTCTCAGGCGTCACCCTGGGCTGCCTGCACCCAGCAGGTGGCCGGCCCTGGGTCCCACTGTCCTGGGCTCAGCCTCTCCAACCTTGTCCACGTGGCATCGAGGCCTGTGCCATGTCAGTCCCCTCTGCCCGCCTCCCCTCAACAGGGCGGGGCTCTCTGTGGCACCCCAGGACGGCACCGCCTTTTCAGAGCCGGAGGACACTTTCTGGTGGCCCCTCTCCTCCTCCGCCCTGGGGTGGCTCTGCCATTCCACCGAGGTGGCCTGCTGTGCGGTCTTCTCAGGGCTGCCCCCTAGGGTCACATCTCTGTCCTGTCCCTCTAGACCTCTGGGCAGCTGTGTCCTCCGTGGCCCACTCCCTCCTCCTGAGACTCCCTCTGAGTCTACACTGCTTGTACCTGACTGTCCTCCGACCTGCTGGCCAGCTCTCCTTGGTCCCCCAACACTGCTCGGGTGGTGGCTCCTGGACCAGCGGCTGCTCTGCGCTCCCTGCACGCACACACGGCTGGGCCGCTCGGGCCTGTGGCCTCTCCTGCCTTGGTGTCCAGCTGCCTCGGGCAGCTCCACTCAGACATCAAAGGGTCCCCGGCTCAGGCAGGCCAGTTCCCCTTAAATCTGCCCTGTTTCCCGTGACTCTGGACACCCAGCTCATGGGGCTTGTGGTATAGACGGACAGACTCCTGCAGGCTCCTTTCTGAGTCCCTCTGTGATGTTGCAGCAGTTACCCCGCCCCGGGTCTCCCACCACCCCAGTGCCTCTCAGGGCCGACTTCCAGCTGCACCTGCCAGGCACCACCCGGTCCAGCCCCTCGCATACGGGAGCCTTCCTCCGCCTCTCCCCTGCAGGCCCCCTGCCCTGGGTAATGTGTGACCCGCAGGCCCCACCCTGCCTATTCTGTCTCATCTAGTCTCCTTCTTTGACTGTGTTCCCAGCCCAGATCACTGAGTGTCTTCCCACCCCTCGGAGGAGCCTGGGAACTCTGCCTCCGGGTTCGCAGTGTGGTTCCCGTGCCCGGCCCAACCCTGGACGCCTGCCTCACCGTTGATGACCTGTGACCTGATGCTGCCCCTGCCCAAGTTATTGCGAGAGGCCAGCGACCGCCCCAGCACACCCCTCTGGTACCACCGCAGCCTGTCGCTGTGTGGGGGCACCACTGATTTCACGTCAGTTGCACAGAGCCTGCATGGTGACTCCACAAACCCTTCTCCTCTATTCTCCTCTGGGGATTTTGGGCACACACGCACACGCACCCGGAGTGACTTTCTAGCCACCGGGTCTGGGACTTGAACCACAGTCGGCCACGTTACTGTCCTTATGTAGCACCTTTGAGACAGGAATTGAAGATGTCCTAGGGATGGTCTCAGCCAGAAATCGGCCCCTGGTCCCCACCCAAGGTTATTTTACAGATGGAAAATTGAGTCCTGGGGTGGAGAGACTAGCTCAAGGCCATGGAGTAGGTCAATGGCAGAGCCAGGCTTTGAACCAGGGCTTGAGAGGTGCCCGCCACCTCAGCTCAGGAGGGAGGAAGAGTCTGGTTTTGGCTTCATCTCTGAGGTGGCTGTTCCCAGGGTGGCTCATCCCTGGCTCCTGGTCACCAATGTCGGTTGGGGCTGTCAGAACAAATAGATCAGAGGGCTCAAACGCCTAAGCTCTGGGGCCAGACTGAGAACAATGAAATGTGCCGAGTGATAGAGAGGGGGAGGGTGAGGAGGGTGTCAAACCTGAGTGAGCAGGTCTGTATAAGCCAATCAAATTCAACATAAAAGAGCATGTGCCAGGACCAGCAGATGGCGTACTGGTTACATTGCTGACTCTCATTGAGTCCACTGCAGTTCGAGTCCTGGACTCGGCAGCTTAAAACTCATGCTGGGGAGGCCAGCAATTAGTGTAATGACTATGTCGCTGGACTCCCACGTAGTTGACCGCAGTTTGAGTCCTAGACCTGGGGGCTTAAACTCACGCCGGGCACGTGTGCGTGTGTGCCCAAGATCCTGAGAGGAGAATGGAGGAGAAGGGATTGCAGCGTGGCCATCCTCCCTGGGGGGTGCTTTCTCGCTTTCTGTCTCTCTGTCTCTCTCTGTCTGTCTGGTGAGTGCACATACTCTGTAGCAAAAACCTCTAAAAATAAAAAACCCAAAACACAAACAAACAAAAAAACTCACGCTGGGGGGACCAGCAGTTAGCGTAATGGCTATGTTGCTAGACTCCCACGTAGTCGACCACGGTTCGAACCCCAGAGCCAGCGGCTTAAACTCACGCCGGGCGCATGTGCGTGCCTGCCCAAGATCCCGAGAGGAGAATGGAAGAGAAGGGATTGCGGCATGGCCATCCCCCCTGGGGGGTGGTTTCTTGCTTTGTGTCTCTCTGTCTTTCTCTGTCTTTCTGGTGAGCGCACATGCCCTATAGCAAAAATCACTCCAAAAAAAAATTTAAAAAACAAAAACAAAAAACAAAACAAAACAAAAACCACTTATGCTGGGTACGTGTGTGCGTGCCCAAAATCACAAGAGGAGAATGGAGGAGAATGGATGGCGGTGTGGCCATCCCCTCCTGAGAGATGGTTTCTTGCTTTCTGTCTCCCTGTCTAAAAGAAAAAAAAGGAAGAAAAGGTGCCGTGCTGAGCCAAATCGAACATGTCTGTGGGCCCGCTGTGGTGGCGTGGGCAGCAGGCTGCTGCTCTGCTGTGCAGTAGGCCAGGTGGGAGGGCTCCAGATTCGTGGCCTGGGTCTACCCAAAGGCCAGGCAGCCTGGGACTGTGGCTGGCTGTGGGGCTTGGGGGAAGGGTGGGGTGTAGAGACCCTGTCAAGTGAGCCTCCTTTTTTCATGAAGGAAATAAATATACATTCTGAAGAAAACAAAGCAAAGGTTTGGCTATGGCCCCATTTGGCCCTTGAGCTGTGAGTTCAAGACCCCAGGCCGGCCCATTGCTTCCTAGAGGAGATGGAGGCCCAGAGGAAGCTCTCCTGCCTCCCACCTGCATCTCCTCTGGGCCTCAGCAGGCCTCCAGGCAGCACCGGGGTGACATAAGGGTGTCCCCAGGAGTGGAGGATCTGCACCTCGTGTCCTGAGAAGAAGCTGCAGAGCAGGAGGAGGCCCTGTCTGGTCTGGACTGGTTTCCGAGCTGCCCACGCCCGCTCGAGTCTCACCTTTGACCAGGGTGTGCTTGTCCGTGGGAGAGGAGCGAGCCAGCACCCGCAGCTTCGGCCAGATCTTGTCGATTCGCTCCTGCTCAATCTGAAGAGGGTGGGGTTGGGGAGAGAAACTGAGGTCCAGAGAAGGGAGGAGACACACCCGGACAGCCCGCTGGCTGGTGTCTGCACAGTCACCCAGCCTGCCCCTCCCGGCCCACATCCCAGCTCGGCCCTCCGGGACCCTCACGCTGGGCCACGCACCTCTCCCTTCTCGTTGCGGATCCTCCGGTTGAACTCCTTGCCTTCGAGGCACAGAAAGTCCTCCCCAGGGTGGATGATGCCACACTTGATGGCGATGGCCCGGGCCGTGTTGATATTGTCGCCAGTGACCATGCGCACGGTGATGCCCGCTCGCTGGCACTTGCGGATGGCTTCGGGGACCTGGGCAGGAGGGTGGGAGCCATGGGGCAGGGTACCATCTCAGGCAGGCCCTCCCTCCCTGCCTGGAGTCCACAGTGAGTCCTATCCACAGGCAGCTCCCCTGAGAGGAACTGTATGTGACGGCATGCACAGTACATGGGCTACGCCTCCCTTCCTGTGCCCTTGCAGGCATGGTTAATCGATCACAGCATCCTCTGATTAGACCCTCAGACCCTTCTCAGCATGGAGCCTCACGCAACCACCACCTATCAACCATGAAAGACCCTCAGAGTTGACCCTAGGGGGAAGTGTGGAGCCCTCCCCCAGTACACGTGAACTTGCTCCTGTTTCCTCCCCACGCACAGTTCCTGCAAAACGACAGTGTTTTCAATTTCTTGGGGGCGAGACTTGCATTTGGGGCCATTTTATTTACAGGATGTGACGCTGGTTTAGAACAAGTGAGTACGCTTCATGTAAAATACGCCCTTTCACTGCTATCATGATTGTGTCCTGCCCTCTCTGACTGTAATGACAGACCGATCGGAGCCAATCAGGCCAGGTCAGATATGGCCAATCAGAAGGCAGCAAGCCCCCCCCCCTCCTCCCAGCCATCCCTGTACAGAGCTGTAGATGTGCCCAGCAATCAGGATGTGAAACCAGGCCCGGAGCTGCTGGGCCTTCCACACACAATGCAGCCTTACCCGCCAGCAGTGACAAAAATTAGTAAGAGTTTATTTGCTACAAAATGTCTTTTTTGAGTAGGAGAGAACGTGTCAAGCACAGAAAATCCCCTTGCATGTAAAGACAATCGTGTTAGAATCTTGGGCCTGAAAGGACTGAGTCCCATCCCACTCATTTTACAGACCAGTCACTGGGGGCTCACTTGTACCCACCCCGCCAAACCTCTGCAGTAAGACTTGGAAGACTGTATGGGTTGAGTTATGTCCCGAAAAAGATACACTGAAGTCTTAACCTCCGTGCCTGTGAGCATGACCTTACTCTGAGACTGGTCTTTATAGAGGTGACTGAGTTAGATGAAGACTCTGGGGTGAGTTCTTTTCCTTATCAAGAGGGGAAATTTGGACACACAGACAGATGGATACATAGGGAGATGCCACGGGATAATAAGGCAGAGATTGGGCAGGGCTTCTACAAGCCAAAAAAGACATTTTTTAGCAAATAAACACTTATTATTTTATGTCACTGCTGGTGGGTAAGGCCCACTTCTACAAGCCAAGGAATGCCAAAAGTCATCAGTGAACCACTAGAAGCTAGGAGCAAGGCATGGAACTGATTCTCCCCACAGACCTCCAGCCCTGCCAACACTGTGACCTGAGAGTTCCAGCCTCCAGAACCGTGAGACCTGGGATTCCCAGCCCCCAGAACCGTGAGACCTAGGATTTTTCCAGCCCCCAGAACCGTGAGACCTAGGATTTTTCCAGCCCCCAGAACCGTGAGACCTAGGATTTTTCCAGCCCCCAGAACCGTGAGACCTAGGATTTTTCCAGCCCCCAGAACCGTGAGACCTAGGATTTTTCCAGCCCCCAGAACCGTGAGACCTAGGATTTTTCCAGCCCCCAGAACCGTGAGACCTAGGATTTTTCCAGCCCCCAGAACCGTGAGACCTAGGATTTTTCCAGCCCCCAGAACCGTGGGCCCTGGGAGTCCCAGCCCCCAGAACTGTGAGCCCTGGGATTCCCAGCCCCCAGAACCGTGAGACCTAGGATTTTTCCAGCCCCCAGAACCGTGAGACCTGGGATTTTCCAGCCTCTAGAACCATGAGAACAAATTCCTCTTGTTGGAGCCACTTATGCTGTGAGACTCTATTACAGCTGCCCAGCAAACTGACCCAGAGTTAGAGCACTGGCCCCACCTGACTGTGGCCAACGCCTGCTCTCAGGAGTTGTACAAATGATGCACGACCTTGAAAATACATCGCCTGCGTCTGCCCTCCCCATAACACCTATCGCGCCTGAACCCCACCATCAGCATCTCAAGTCAAGGTCACTGCCCACCCCGCTCTGGTCTCCCTGCCTCTGCCTTACTACTCTCTGTCCTCTCCCATGCTGGCCACCAGTGACCTAAATGTCAGCCTGGGGTGTCGCTCTCCTTCAGGGTCTCCACCCCGATGCTTGCAATGGAAAATCCAGACTCCTGAGCATGGCCATGAGCAAGGAGGGCAGGGCGTGGGTCAAGGTCAGAAGGCCTCTGTAGCTACCAGAGTTGTCTGAGACCAGCTCTGCCCTGGCAGGGAGTGATTGCTCTGTCACTGCAGGGTTCAAGCAGGGATGGCTGACCAGGGACTTTCTCTGGGGTATAGTTCCAGGTCTTGGGAGGGGCCTTCTGGTGCCCACTCAGAGCTAGGGGCCACGTGAGCAAGGCTTCAGTCTCGCTCCCCAGCAGCTGCTCACATAACCAAAGGTGACCTCTTTTTGACAGAGCCGGAGGGAGTGGAGATGTGGAAATGGTCAAGTTCCATTTTACGTAACTTACTGATGTCCTCAAAATGACTGTGACCCGGGTTCCAGCCCCCTGCTGTCTCCTGCCCCAGAGGACAGGAAAGACCCTCTGTCCTTCTGAGAACACACGCCTTCTCTGGCTCCTGCCCCCCAAAAGGAGGACTATAAGTTGTGTGAATCGCAAAGATGCTGGGGTTGGGGGTAGCAAGTCTTGGGGTTGGAAGGGACTTTGAGTCCTTGACTCTGACCCTCTGTTCATGGCCTAGATCTGCTCCCAGGTGCCCCCAGCAGATGGAGGGCCAGGCTCTGCTTGCAAACCTCTGAAGATGAGGTGATTATTCCCTCCAAGGCTGACTGCTCCACGGTGGGACAAGTCTAACTTACTCTTCCATGTAACCTTGCCTCTTTCAGGTAACGGCACGACTCGGCATCAGACAGGGTTTTGGTACAGGCTCATATGGACAGTTCTGGGAGCACAGAAGAGGGCACGACCACTTTAGAAGGAAGTGGGTGGGAAGGAGAAATCAGGGAGGGCTTCCTGGAGGAGGAGCTATTTGAACTGGTTCTGCTTGGCCACACTGAGGCTTTAGTGCCTGGCACTGTGCCGGGGCTGGGGCTGCATAGATAAACATGAAGTGAGTCAGTCTGGCCATAGAGGACTGTCCATGAGGCACATAGGCAGAGAAGCTGAGGTGTAAATTGGCCTAAGGACTGTGCTAGGTGACCTGAGGCTGAGGGAGGGTTGGGGGGTGGGGTGGGCCCTTGTGGCCATGAAACTGGAGTGGGGCCTGTGTCTGACGGTGCCAGGATGAGGGACTTGTTCCTTCAGGAAGGAGGAGATACTTTGAGAAAGACTCGCACTTTCAAAACTGTCCCAGGGAGCCCACATGGGCCAACCCAGATCTCTCCAAAGAAGCTGGCTCTGTGAGGAACAGGAGGCATATTGTCAGGGACCCTGCACTTCCCTCCGGGCTGGAGAGGCAGTGGGGGCAGAGGGCTTGCTGACTGACAGACTGGGCTGGGCTTTCTTAGGCCTTTGCCCTGAGGTGCCACCCAGACCTTGGCTTCTTTATCTGTAATACGGAAATGAGGGGCCAGCAGGTGGCCTAGTGGTTAAGGTGCTGGACTCCCATGTGACTGACTGTGGTTCGAGTCCTGGACCTGGAGGTTTCAGACTCACTTTGAGCACATGTGCACGTGTGCCCAAAATCCCAAGAGGAGAATGGAGGAGAAGAGATTGCGGTGTGGCCATTCCCTCTGGGGTGCTACTTCTCACTTTCTGTTTCTCTGTCTCCCTCTGTCTCTCTGGCAAGTGCATGCACCTTATAACAAAAATCTCTCTTTAAAAAAAAAAAAAAGACAAAAGGACCGATAGTACACACCCTTGCACGAGGCCAGGATAATTCAATGCCAAGGGGTACATCATGCCAAGCCCAGGACGGGGACATGCAGGCCCCTTCCAGCTCTGCTCCCAGCACAGGGTCCCCCCTGCCTGGAATGCCCTCCCTCCCTAAACCTCTCTGTGCCAAACCTTCCCCATCTTACATGCCCACCGCTCTCTACTCAGGAAGTCATCCCTGAGCCGCCCAATCCGAGTCGAAACACTCCCCCCTTAAACTGCCCTCCGGTGAGGGTTCTGCGCTGCTCACCCCACTTATTTGACAAACAGCTGTCAAACACATCTAACTGTTTAGGCACAGAGGGCCCGGAGAGGGTTACGACTCTAACCCCGGAGGCATGGATCTGGTTGGAATTTGCTTTCTACCTAAATAAAATCACTGTTAAATGAAAGAAGACTGGCTTCTTTTGCTAAAATTATCCTAGATATTTCTCACGGAGGAGAAGCAGCCAGGAAATGGACGCTTCCTGCTTTCATTAAATAGAGGCTTTTAAACATCTGCTGCTGTTTCTGGTGACAGCCTGTTGTCTGTGACTCCAGGGCTCGAACGCCCCCGGGTAACCCAGCAGATCCCAGACCTGCGCTTTCCTGATGGCTTCATTGGCACGCCTTCAGTCTTGGATGTTTGTGGGTTTGTTTTTGTTTTTATTGCCAGAGGGCACATGCACTCTCTAGTGAGAGAAAGACAGAGAGAGGGGAGAAAGATCGAGGAATGTTCTTTTTTTTTCCCCTCCCAAAGAATTATTTTATTTATTATTATTTAAAAATTTGCTATAGGGCACGTGAACTCACCAGTGAGAAACAGAGAGAAAATGAGAGAGCAAGACACCAGGTCTGGGACTCGGACCATGGTCAGCCATGTGGAGTCCAGTGCCTCAACCACCACGCCCCCTGCTGGCTCCCGCCAGAACGCTCTTCAAGCTGCTGGGGCCAGGATTTGAACTCTGATTGGCCATGTGAGATCCTGGTCTCGTAACCACTAGGCTACGAGATTGGCCCGTGAAGGTGGAATGTTTTGGCAAGTGTGTGTTTATCTGGGAAGGAGGCAATGCCGAACTCCACCCCCTTGCTGGCTAGGGAAACCGAGAGGGTGGAGACGGTTTTTCCGCAGTTACCAAGAATCTGACCACGAAGGTGGCCAGGGCTGCGGCTTCCCTGTGGAAGGGCCTCGCCATGCAGGGAGCTCACCGTGACATTCACGGCAGGGGCCAGGAGCTCTGCACAGTAGGGTGGCCCAGACAGAGTGCCAGAGAGCTGGACAGAAACACCTATCCTAGACGCAGTCTCTCCATGGAGAAAACGGATGTGAACTGTGAGCTCGAGGGGACAAGGGCTACTTCACGCTGTCTGTGCTTTTACACCTTTGGTGTTTTGATTGCCAGAGGACATGTGAGTTCATCAGAGAGAGAGAGAGAGAGAGCGAGAGCGAGCGAGAGAGAGAATACCCCCCTGGGGCATGATCACACCTCAATCCATTCTCCTCCACTCCTCCATCTGGTTGGGACTTTAAGCTTGTACACAGAGGCAGTCAGTGTGTCTTTTTTTTTTTTTGGAGAGGTTTTCGCTATAGGGCGTGTGCGCACGCCAGACAGAGAGAGAGAGAGAGAGAGAGAGAGAGAGAGAAAGCAAGAAATCACCCCCCAGGGGGGATGGTCACGCCGCAATCCCTTCTCCTCCATTCTCCTCACGGGATCTTGGGCACCACGCACACGCGCCCGGTGAGTTTTAAGCCACCAGGTCCGGGATGCGAACCGCGGTTGACTACATGGGAGTCCAGCGACATAGCCATTACGCCAACTGCTAGTCCCTCAGTGTGTTCTTGAAGTCACCAGGGCAGGGATTTGAATCTGGTTGTGGGATCTGGCTCCCTTACCCACTAGGCTACAGGGGATGTTTCTAAGGCAGGGAGAGGAACCAGGGCCTCGGGAGGGGCGGCCGGAGGGAGGCTCTGGAGTTGAGGAGGGCAGGGGAACTGCGAGCGCGTGGGTGTCCCCGTCCCAGCGGTTTCCAGTAAGGGGTAACACAGCACGGTGAGCCTGAACCCGTCAGCGGCTGGAAATGAGGTGTCCCCCAGGGAGGCTGCTAAACGGCCTGTCTGTGAAGAGAGCAGACCGCAGGAAGACGCGTGTGGGTGGTGGGGCCAGCTTCAGGGGGCTCAGTGTCTTTGCTGACTAAGGATCTGGGTAGGAGTGAGGGGGTTGCACTGACACCCCTCCTACAGGGGCTATGAGTGTGTGTGTGTGTGTGTGTGCGCGCGTGTGTGAGAGAGAGAGAGAGAGAAGGAGAGAGGGAGGAAGGGAGGGAGGGAGGGGAGAGAGAGGAGA